TTCTCAATAAACACTTGTACTTTAATCTATTTACCAATCATTTATTCATACAAAATTAATAAGAAAAATTGATCACAATATTTCTAGAATTGATTTTCTCTACTGATATATATTCAGCATTATTTACTCTTTATTTATACTGGGAGGAACTTTAGAATAGTAAAACAATGCAGACACCCTTTTAAAAAGCACTATTACAATTCCTTAAATGACTTGCATAATGCAAAGAGTTAGAATCTTAGGAATGGCTTCATTCCCTGAAAACACTCCAGGTATGATGTATCTACAGCAAATGTGTGTATGTGTGTATACACACATACACATATATAATCATTGGAAAACATCAGGAAGAAGAAAATGCATGATCTCAAAAATAAAACTATATTTGTGTTTGTTTATTAATTTACTCAAGAGGAGATGAAATTTTTCAAATGTGTGGCCCGCATGACATAGATGGTAAGCTGTGGATCACACTCTGGATAGTTCAGAGTATGAACATGGAGTTAGATAATATTGAATGGCTGGTGAGAAAGTTATGCCCTGTTCAAATTTTTTTCATTCTTCCTAGTGAAGGGAAGTGTTGAAATCATATGGATAACGTGATCCATATGGAAGATCTGCTGTCTACTTTTGTTTTATAATATCTCTCAAATTTTTGAATTAAAGAAATGTAAATATTAATTGTAAGGTTGAGATTTCAAAGGACAATAAAATAAGTAATAACTTACTCTGACATCTATAACAGAAAGAGATAACAAAGTTCATATCTCAAACTAAATCCTACATTACCTGTCTCTCCACCCACATTATTTCCCACATGAATTATGAACAAGGAACCATATATGAACAGTGGTCTAATGGCATGAAAAATCTAGCATTCAAAGTGCATCCTGGACTTTGAATCTAGACTGATTGAATCATAAGTATGGCTAACAGAATAGTCATCTATACAATATCAGTACTCTGTACACAGATCACAAAGCTAATAAATGGCACAGTTACAACTCTATATAAGGTCTTTTATTCTCTTTACTATATAATGTCCTGAAATGTTAATGGATAATAATGTATAGTCTTTTCATAAGCAAAATCTGATACCACTTGAATCCTCAACTGATTTTAATTAATAAACACAAATATAAGTTTTCTTAAATGGATAAAAAATAATATTTTCTATATATAAATGCATTACCATACATTGGTGTTAAAAAAAGCATTACCAACTTTCACTCTACTTATTTTCATTTACTAATATACAGCATAATCATATAAACATAGTACTAAGCAAAATAGACTAAGCCCTGAAAATGTAAATGGTAGAATATTCTCCAAGGAAATAGCCAACCCAAATGTTATGCAAACAGAAACATAAACCAAAACAAACATGAATATTTTTGTTCTAATGGTAGCCTAAAGAAAGAAAAATGTTAAAGTTCTACATTTCTTACATATTGTTATTATACGGTGTGTAACACTCATTCTTCTCACATACTGCTATAAATCTACAACTAGTTTTTGCTTGTGTGTGTGTATATGTGTATGTGTGTGCGTTATTTTATTTTTTGTTTCTAGAGAATTAAATATAGTTGGCAAAGGATGAGGGGAGCAAGTATTTTTCAAACAACAATGTCATGGACTATTAAATTTCTTACTCTATTTCTTTAAGAAAATCAGCTACACAAATTGGTTCTTATTAAAACAAATATGTAGTTTCTCTTTGTGACAAACTCAATTATAAACCTCACTGGGCAAAAGCTATTTTCTCTTATGGCTTTTGCTACAGATCAATCCAAAGTTTGAAATAGTTTGCCTGCCTCCTGACTCATTGTGTGGACTCCATTTCAGTTTTGTGCAACAAAATTTAAATATCACAGTTTTCTCTATTATTAAGATAGAGAGAAAAAAATAACATGACATCAGCAAATAATGTACATCTTCTTAGTAAAGAGAGAGTCAATGCCTGAAAGGTACTGAAGATAGTTACAGGAAGACTAAATGTGTTCCACTTAGACAGTTTAATGATTCACATGCAGCTCATTCATTTCTTTGTAGAGAAGCTAGAGGACAATTTCTATGGATAGGCTCTCCTTCAAGGGCGTTATTCAAACCAAAATATTTCAGTATAAAAGAGGCTCTTTATTTATCTCCTCATACACACACACACACACTCACACTCACACACTCACACATAGATATACTCACAAGTACAAAAATGACATTGACAGAAATTGGCCTACACTCAAGCAATGAGGGTTGAAGCCTGCATCCACAGCCGAGATTACAGCACAGATGCAGATCATATCAATTGGGCAGCAGAGAGCGCCACACCCCCAGAGAGGGTGCAGATAGCGGCCAGTCCTCCTTCCAACCTGCTAACATAAAGGTACATAACCCCACCCTGCAAGCATCTAAGACAGATATTGTGATGTCACATGTTAGAAAATGTCTTCACTGAATAGGTGTAAGTATGCACTGTTTTCCAAAATACAGAATGTAGTACATCATGCTTCCTGCATATATGAGCACAGAACTTTTCTTCCATGAATTATCTTGAAATCATGGGACTATCATTTGCTAAATGTTATTCTTTTTCATCGTTATTATTGAGAGTATTACAGATGTCCTCTCCCCGTTTTTTCCCCTTGCTCCCCACCACCTGGTTCCCGCCCGGCCCCAGGCCTTTACCACCCTATTGTCTGTGTTCATGGACAAGGCCTATATGCATATAAGAGCTTTATCTAATCTCTTCCCTTCCCCCTTTCCTCTGAGATTCGTCAGTCTGTTCCATGTTTCCATGCCTCTGGTTCTATTTTATTCATCAGTTTATTTGGTCATTAGATTCCACATATAAGTGAGACAACATGGAGGGACCTGGAGATGATTACGTTATGCAAAATAAGCCAGTCAGAGAAAGACAAATATCACATACTAAATGTGATTCTAAGTGCAAGGTAATAAAAATTCTGCAAATAACTAAATTTGTATGTAAGTAAATTAAAATAGTATGAATAATTTTATTATATTTGTAGTCATCAGTATTAAAGCTTTCTCCCCAGGCCCATTCCAGGCTTCCTATCCTAAATGTTGACAGAATCCTGACTCTGAATACAGTCACATCTGCTTTGAATGAACTCTCATGCAAAGTGACAACTTGAGAACTGAGACTCTATGGTGTCAATAGGACAGATTTTATTAACTGTTTTGTGCTTTATTTGCTAATGAATGCATAGTAATTGTAACATGTAGCAGTAACCTTTAATATGAAAATGTGTTATTCACATTCATACACTAGAATACCAGAAAATGTTATGCTTCAAATTAGTATAGAAAATATAACACTATTTATGTAAACATTAAGAATGCTATAATCTATTAGGTACATATTAATGAATGCTTACCAATAGAGTAAAAGTTAAACAGAAAACATGTGAATGATGCATAACCACTTCTGGCTTCAGGACAGGTGGAGGAAGAGAAGGAAAAGGGTAGAGGTGGGCTTTAGTTGCTATTGCTGGGATTTGGGTTTTTAAAAGAGATCTCTTAGGCCAAATATTAACATCTATTTAAAATGGTACATGGTGCTTACTGTATAACTTTCTGTACAAGTCGGTAAGTTTTAAATGCTTTATAATTTAACAGGCACTTTCTTTAATTAAAAAAATTCTGATCCTTATATCCCTATAGCTTGAGTAGCCTGATTCAAGTTTCCTCACCAGGCATTTAGGGAAAATAAAAACACACTTTAATCAATTCTATCTTTTGGTTTGAGCATGTTCAGTGTTGGGAAAAACAGGCTGTGGAAAGTACAAAGGTACTGTGGGAAGCTCAAGTTCCTCTCACAACCTCCAGTTAGTGTGATTACAGCTAACACATTAATTAAAAATAATTAGCCAAGCAGTAGTTTATACATCAAAACTGCTCAAAAGAAGCAAAAGATTCTTAACCAATTTAGAAGCAAGACTCTCTTACATGGCACAGAATTCTAGATAAGGTGAAGGGAGATAGGAAAAGAAATCAGGAAATGCAACCACAGGGAGGTGTGATGTAGCAGAACAAATTGTGGAATCCAGAGACTTGGGGAGTGAGTAAGGCATTGACCAGAAACTCCCAAGCAGAAAAACTGATGAAAATAATGTTTCACTGGGAACTGGCAAATGTGAAATCCAGCAAATGAATTTAACACAATTTTGTCTAAGAAGCCTGAAAGTCCTATCTTTAACTTAGGCAAACTTTGTCTTCTCTAATCAATTGCTAGATGATATTTTTTTATTTCCCCAACAATGCTAAGTTTGGTGTATTCACCTATAAATTAGTCTCAAATAAATATTTAATAAGTGTTCATGAAATAAATTACACCTGACAACTATTGTTCACTTCTGTCTAGCTTTCAACATTTTTAAGATAGGATAAAATATATTAAACAAAATGAATACGTTCTCCATTTTTGCAATGTTAATTAAGGAATAAATGTTGTAAATAAAATAAATGATTTGAAATGAAAACATTACTATTTCAGAAACAAATACTAACAAGTTATCACTGTCATCTATTAAAACAGAACAAATGCTTTCATTATTTTTCCTATATTTTTATCATATTTATGAATTAATATTCATTGAATGAATGAAAAATCATATGAATTTAAGCAGAAAAATTAAGTCTAGAACAATATGAAAATAGTATTTTGTCGTTTCTATTTATTAAATGCTAATATCATGTACATCCTCTAAAATAAGATAGTTTTATCCCATCTTTTTTAAAATCTATATTTCCAGAAATAGTTTTGACTTATACTAAGCAATACTTACTCTTTTGCTTTACCCCTCCTTTCTTTTTACGAAATAGCCAACCTGAGATTGTTGACTCTGAGAACACAGAGACAGACTTTCTCATGTAAGACTTCAGTCTCATCAGAATTGTGTTCAGATTCATTGCACTATGGCCATCTCAGATGATGACATGAACACCATAGGTAAGATCCAAGGTCACACAACACTCACCACAGTTGGCTTCGTCTGATGCGTCTGCACAGTCCGGATCCTCATCACAAACCCACAGCTTGGAAATGCAATGCTTGGTAGTTTTACATTGAAAATAGTCTGGAGAACAGCTGTTTTCAGCTTAAGAGGAAAACACCTATTAAAATGCAGCTTTGGACAAGTATAGTTGTGGGGTGGGGGCGGGGCTGGGTAAGGGGTGTAGATATTGAGCAAAAAAGGATACTCTATATAAAAAGCAATTGACAAACAAATGCTTAAGGTAGTTGAAAATGTATCATCTTTTAATTAAGGATGCTCTGAAGGTGAAGAGTTTTAACTTCTAATTATAATGTATTCATGATGTCTTTCAGTAGAAATAAGTATAAACGTATTTCTCCAATGATGTATTTGATAAAAATCAGAGTTTTCAAAACAGTCCCACCTAAATTAGATCACATTTAAAAACTAACTATATACACAAACAATTAAGGGAGTTTCAGAATAATTTTTCCAGATAAATAAATTTTAAATTTTATATATAGTCAGCTTTATAAATGAAAAAAAATTACTAAAATTGAAAGATACTAGTCAATGAAGAAATAAAAAGCACAAAATTTACCAAAATCTCTAGTTGTGTTGTCTTTTAGGGAAGAGGTGAACATCTGACTTAGACTGTAAACCATATCACAAATCCTAGTGAGTTTAATGATCAGCTTCTAGAATGGCTAACCATAAAGACCTGGGGCTGACTTTATTCTGAATGCATCATCTTAATCAAATTGCTGGATGATTGCACATTATTTACTGATAAAATTTTTAGAGGAATAAAATAAAACTTTCCAAAAGACAGAAATGTTCACAGCATATCTTGAAATCCTGAAACTTGACAGGTGCTCTATCTAGCCTTCAGAGCCTCTGTGTGTGTGCGTGTGTGCGTGTTTGTGTTCGTGCACCATCCTGCCTGCCTATGCACGTGTTTGTAAATTGTTTTCTCTTTCACTTAAAGTAATTTGAATTTAGGCAGTTGATGGAAATAAGAGGTGAACAAAATGGAAGATATTTTACTATTGTTCTTTGAAGTAGCTTGTTACGATACATTAAATAGGGTCTTATTTACAGTTTTTAACAAATAGTTTTCTTGTTATTTTTCCCAGATTTTATTTCTTCTCGTATGTTTAAATGTATTTTATGGGGGTAGGATGGGAAGCAACATCTAATTAAAATAGAGTTAATTTCAAGTGACTAACTAATCATTAGAAAATTAACTATACCTACTTACTATGAGCAAAAAAATAAATGTATGAAACAATTCCATAATCACCTATAATGCTGTTTTTGCTGCTTCTCTTAAGAATGATATGAATGAATGAATTTTGTTTAATTATTGTCACAATTTCCAAGTAGCTTTTAAGTAAAGATGACCCATGTTTTAATTTTCTTCAATTTCTTCATTTAGAGCTTATTAAATAACCCATCCCAATAACCAATAAACAACTGTATGGAATTATGTGGCACAGTTGCTATTATATATTTCGACATTGTGTAAATTTACAATGCATAATAATAATTTTTAGACCAATTTCAGTTGGAGGTCAGAAGTAATATAAGACAGAACATTCTTAGGTGACTTACGACAGTCCTTTTCATCTTCCTCATCACCACAGTCATCTTGTCCATTACATCTGAGGTTTACTGGGATACATTTCTGATTCTTGGTACACTTGAACTGACCTGAGAGGCAGACATGTGTATCTAAAAGATAAAAAGCAAAATTATTTGTGCCGAAACTCGTGTCTGCATTTAAATCAGTGTGGGCACACCCTGGCCAGATATCATTCAGATACGCCAGGGTTGTGGCTTTGTTTCCCGGTCAGGGCACATACACTGTACAAAAATCAACCAATGAATGCATAAATAAGTGGAACAACAAATTGAGTGATTTCTCCTCTCTCTCTCAAATCAACAATAAAAAATGTCAGTGTGGACATAATCAGTTAAGAATTAGATTTATGTTCCTTAGTTAAAAAATTAATCACCTACCACAGTTGAGTTCATCAGAATTGTCTCCGCAGTCATTCTCTCCATCACAGATGAAAGCAGGCAGAGCACAGAGCCCCGTTCCACACTGAAATCGGCCTGGCTGACATTTAAATTCAGCTGGGGGAGAAAACATACAGGCATTGTGGAAGGACAATCTTAGCTCATGACTTCCTAAACAGAGCTTTTCTGACGCTCAAATGTTCATACTATTATTATAGTAAGCATATCCTAGAGCACAATGGCAGTGTCTCACATCTATAGCCATCGGATTCAGATGCACAGCTACACTATGAACAACTCAGATTGCCTCAAGATAACATTTCAACTAAAGTTAAGAAAGCAATTAGCAACCTATAAATATAAAGGTATAGATTTAAAAACATAAATGCCTCCTTACTTCAAATAAATGATAGAGAATTTAGTGACAGAATAGAATTTATTGTAATTTTAAAAAATACTTACTCCAATATCATTTTTAAAAATCATTTATCTTTGGTCACTTTGACACCTGTTGTGTGTAAGAGAGGAATATCGCCTCCAAAACATACTTCCCAGAACTACTTAGCAAATGCTACCTATAGGTATCACATTTTAAATCAGATTTATTTATATTCATTTCTATAATTGTATTAATGTAAAGGGCAATGTCTTATAAATACTAACGATTTTTATGTACAACACATATTTTATTATAGTAAATAAACCCCAGATAATAGTTCATTTTATCTGCTATATTTTTGAGTTTTCATAAGGAATAATAATAATGAAGTAGGATTTATTAAGTATCTACTAAGTATCAGGCATTGTGCGAGGCCCTTTCACATACAGTAACTAATTGAATCTCATCATAAACTTCTCACCTCAACATCATAAGCACTTTTATAAATGAGGAAATTAATCTTCATGGACAGAAAAGTTTCAAGTGTCAGACTCAGAATTTAAATCCAGATCTGACTTTGAAGTCTTCTCACAAACTATCTTGCTGGTAATAAACCATTTTTTTTGACTGATGATCCTAATGTATGTTACTAATCACTGACTTTGAGATTAATAGAAACTAATAATGATTTATTAATTCAAGCCAGTCGATCAAATGTTGATAAATTGTATTTTAGATTTTTTATGGAAAATAACATGTTTATAATTATGACATTAATTAAACATTTTCTTAACATTTAAAAAATAACTCTTAGTACATGCTGACTTCCATAGAAGTGAGTTCTAAAATGCTGAGTCATGTACCTATAATCTATAACATTTATTAAACACACTCAATGTTTCAACTGTGCTATACTTAATTTTCTCATGCTCTAAACATGTTCATTTCCTCTATTTTCTATTGCTTCCTGTGAAGTTTCTTGTAATATTCCTTTGCTACTAAAAAACCCTCCCATAAGAATGAGGTAAATTCCTGCTTCTATGTCTGGGAAAGAACTGGGAAGCCTCACTGACTTTTAAATTTGCCTCTAGAATGATCCATGGTAAATTCAAATCTCATAGGAAATGGAATTACAAACTCATGATGCCAGAGAATTTTTGATGCATGTCTCCTATCTACATTTATGTAAAAAACATTATGTAAGTATGCAAGTATGTGAAACTGGGATCAAGCTTTCCTGTCTTTTAAAGTGCAAGTATAGGTATTGTCAGTATCTCTTAGTAGCCCCCAATGTTGATGATATAGCTACTCAAAAATGAATTCTACACACTCCACAGATTCATGTACATCATTTCCACCTCACCATGACTCTCGAAATTAAATTATGCCTACAGATGTTCAATGCTGTTAACCCATCAACTCCAAGTAAGAGATCATTTATTAAAAGATCACAGAGACCTGGTTGATGTGGCTCCGTGGCTGAGCGATGACCTATGAACCAGAAGAAGGTCTTGATTTGATTTCCTGTCAGGGCACATGCCTGAGTTGCTGCTCAATCCCCACTAGGGGGGTGCGGGAGGTAGCCAATCAATGATTCTCATCATTAATGTTTCTATCTCTCTCTTTCTCTCCTTCTCTTTACAGTCAGTAAAAATATATTTTAAAAATCACAAAGATAATGCCACCAATAAGAATGTGTAGTATTGGTATTTAACCAAGATAAGAGGTTGTTAGGTATTAGATGTCTCTTAGGTTCCCTTCAAAAGACATTAAAGTTTTGTTTGCTCACCATACAGTCTGACTTTTCATAAATTGTCAGTATTTAAATACTGCAATCCTGTCAGTGCATAAATGTGAACAAAACTCATTAAACTAAATGTGTAGTTAATTTTTGTATATCAATTTGATTGCAGCATGAAATTTTAGTCTGGATTAAAGTAGAGTTCAGGAACTGACACTATGTTAGAAGGGAAAGCATTGGTGTTAATGACTCTCTGTGCAGAGCATCATGGTGATATTTCCCAATAGGGAATCTGGGTGGGAAAGGTCATGTTCACATGAGGACTAAATTAACACATTTATGTGTGTTTATTTCTATGAATGACACAAATCAGTTGTATTTACTTTCTTTACCATATCGAGAGAAAGTTTACCTTATTGTGGGGAAATTAATAACTTTCTTTAAATGAGTAAACCTCAATTGGTACTCAATATTTCTTATTACGTTGATATTTATTTTAATTCAATAACTTAAAAAAAGAATAACTCAGCCATAATAGTATATCTATCCCATTCAAATAATACTTTTTATATGTCATCTCTCATAATAAAAATAAAAACAATATTAATAAATCAAAGAACAAATGATCTTTCAGAATCATAAAAAGAATATTAGAAAAGCGATGACTTTCATAACATTTTTTCTTCCTATTGAATATATTACTTGCTGCTTTCAAACATATAAATGAGCTATGTGAAAGGACTTCAAGTGAGCGATGGAATACAGCTTGTCAGGTAACTATCTAGTGTCTGTGAGTTTGAAACAGCCTTGTAATTATGTGGTGGGAAATCTGCAGAAGGAAGCAGCTAGCTTTCACTATGACAGCACATTGTCCTCCTTTAGTGCATGCCTAAGAAGAATCTTGGACGGAAATGTCAAGGCCAAATCATGGTAACCATCCACTGGGATGTTGAGGGAATTATAATGATTGACTACACAGGTATCTTCAAATTGACAGAACAGTATTGGAATGACCCATGGAGTGAACTATACAGGCTATCAAGGAAAAGTCGGCCGATTGTTCATTACAATCAAAGTTACCAAAGATAGCTTTAAAAAAATGCCAATCACAGTCAGATGTCCAGACATACCTAATTGCTAGTCACTTTAAGGCAACTACTAAGAGCATACTAAATTGCCTAACTGCAAACTAATGAGCTATATTGGAAAAATCTGACTTTTCATAGATTTTTGGTATTTTAATACTGACAGGAAAGTGCAAAAATTGTATCCGTTAATGGTAAGATTTCAGTCATTGAGTGACATTGAAAACTTCCCCATTTTTGTCTCCAGATTGGTGATATATTAAGTCAAAATCATGCTGATTGTTACTGTTCTGATCATTACATGAAGCAATGTAGTTATTCCATAAGTGAATAAAATTAGAAAACTAACAAATTGCTGATGCTGTCACACTAAACATAGTAGTTACATAAATAAGGCTGCAATAGGTATATCTCCAAGAAATTGCAACAAATTTTTGTTGTATTTTTAAATATAGACATATAAAATCTTTCTTTATAATTTTGAAAAGGTATCAGAAAGAGATTCTGTAGATGTAGCTTAAAGTTTTCATGTCAGGGATTTAAGAAGCTCTAAATTCTAAATTCCCACATTCTCTAATGTACTCACGACAATCATCAGGTTCATCAGATCCATCACCACAGTCATCCACGGTGTCACATTTCCACCAGAATGGAATACATTTATCAGTTTTGCAGCGAAACTTAAAAAAAAGAAAGAAAGTAAGAAAGTTGAAATCCTACTCGTATATAACAGGTATTTAAAAACTCACCAGGGCAGAGCCGCCTAGCCTAATCCCTTGTGGCAAATGTGAACTATGGTGGGTTTAGAGAATTCCATGGCAGGGAATAAATGCACAGCAATCAGCAGCAAAATAATCTTCCAGGAAAGCACATTGTCCAGGTAAGCCTCCTGGGACTGCCTGAGCACAGAGGAGATCGCCCATTCACATACTGTCTGTGGGTGCTATTGCACCAGACAGAGTTCACTGATTGCTACAGAGACCATGTGGCCAGCAAAGCCTGAAATACTTATTACCTGGCCCTTTATTGAAAAAGTTTGCTGAACACTGGAGAGGGGTAAAAATTATTAGGAAGAGGTACCTAGTTAATTTAGATTAACTTAATTGCATTGTATTTTCTCAGGAATCTTGGACAATTCAATTCACATTTCTGTCTCTGTTCCTTAGTCAGCAAATGAGGAGGTGAAGATAATCTGAAGGACCCTCTCCAGCTCCATTATGCCGTGATTCCATGAAATTTCCTGAACATTCACATACTGTCTTTGGTCATCATGAATATCTGCTCTACATAAATCTTAAGAATACTTCTTAAAGCAGGTGAGAATGATACAGTTATTTTCAGTTTGTAGAATGCTTAGTTAATACACATGAGCTTTTTGGATAAATAAGAGAGATTTTTGATAACTAAAAAGCTAAAAATAAGGCTGCAATAGGTATTTCTGCTGACTTTTAAAAATGGAAACAGAAGAAAACTGCTATAATAAAAGTTGTTCTTACAATTATTTAAAACACCATTCAATAAGTTGAAAAGGTTACATGGCAATACTTACCTACAGGCTATGTAGCATGTGGGTAACTTGTTGCTAGTGAAAATTTCCAGATTAATATTGTTAGGAAGGTTATGTGAACTGAAATTCATCCCCTGCAGCAGAGTACGGACTATTGCTCCCTTTGCTATTGGCCATATGTACACAGAGATCAAGAAAGCTCAGTCAATTCATTCCTTAGTGATCTCAGACCACAAACTAATCTCTTTCTTTGCAACATTCAGTTCTAGGCTTACTCTGATTTGACAAAAGAAATCAAAGAAAATTATACTTTCCACACAGAGAGCACATATACCTGAAATAGCTATCAAAAGATTCACTTTAAATTATAAAAACCAAGCAATAGATCATGTTTAGAATATTTGTTGCAGCATTATAATTTTTCTTCTGCATTTTAATAGAAATTCAGTGAAAAACATCACAATATTCTTCTGAAATTAAAAATATTAGTTAATTTTCTAAACTTTATTAATTTTCTTTTAAAGTGTTTCTGTTGTAATCCCCACATGAGTTATTAAAAGCAAGGTGGCATTTATTGAAGCATGTTATATGCCAGACACATTTGCAACATAGAAAAATATAGCCTAGGTCCAATTTTCTCTAAGGAAAATGGATTAGCACACTAAAAGTTTTGTTCATTTAAAATACTGTTACTTTCTTCAAGTAAGAGAGAATTGGATGTTAATCTTTGCTGCAAATGTCTGGATATCACGGAGTTGCTTCAGAGTAGATTTACATTATTTTTTTTTAAATAAGAGGGTGGATTTGTTTTTTCTTATTATTTCCAGCGACAATACTGGAGAGCAACAGAGCAATGTTATTTCAGGGGAAGATCTGACCATTGGAGCAATTTTTCCATGTTGGCTTTGTCTCTGGTCATGGCTGCTGTGGCTTTCATAAATTATCAGAGGGGAAATATTACTTTTATGGATAGTGATTATTTGGGGGATATAAGGTTAAGTATGAATGCAATTGCCCTGAACATTAAACGTTTCCAGTCATTTCAGTATAGCAAAGTACATTAGTAAGAAGATTTCAGTTCTCCTGGGTATATTCAAAGTCTTCCTAGTCAAGATTTGAAAAAAAAGATATCTAAAATTCGCATTTTTAAATGCACTAAAATATGCCTGATTTAAATAAACACCTACTGTTGCAATTACATATGATATTATGGTTTGCATGCCATTTCAGTTTTAATAAGATTATTGAAGGTTTTGAGTTAAGAGAAGGCTGGGGTAAAACATACTTCCATTATATTTTATGCTAGTCAACATTTAATTCATTACTCTCAGAGGAAGATGTGTCTCGGCTTCATGACTTCATTTTTTTTTCATACTTAAATACAGTAACTTTAAAAAGATTAATGCTAGCCCTAGCCGGTTGTTCAGTGGTTAGAGCATCATCCTGTAACCTGAAAGGTCCTGGGTTTGATTCCAGTCAAGGGCACGTACCTAGGTTGCAGGCTCAATGCTGCCTGGGTTGGGGCATGTGAAGGAGGCAACCAATCGATGTGTCTCTCTCACATTAATTTTTCTCTGTCTCTCCCTCTCCTTCTACTCTAAAAATCAATGAGAAAATATCTTTGGGTAAGGATTAACCAAAAAAAAAAAAAGATTAATGCTAAATATAAATATAAAATATTCTTCATGGGAAAATATCTTTGGGTGAGGATTAACCAAAAAAAAAAAATTAATGCTGAATATAAATATAAAATATTCTTCATGGTAAATGTTCTCCAAGACTAATATCTTTATAAAGTAAATTGCAGACTGCAATTATCACTCACAAAAAGAAGCTATAAATAAACTACTAAATACATGTCTACTAAACAGATACAGGAATAAAATGCAAATCCCACATATACTAGAGGTGAAGTTCAGTTAAAACAGGAAAAGTCTCGCCCTAGCTGGTTGGCCTCAGTGGATAGAGCGTCAGCCAGCGGTGAAGGGTCCTGGGTTCAATTCCGGTCAAGACTGCATACCTGGGTTGTGAGTTTGATCCTGTGGTCTGAAGGGTCCTGGGTTCGATTCCGGTCAAGGCTGCATACCTGAGTTGTGAGTTTGATCCCCAGCAGGGGGAATGCAGGAGGCAGCTGATCAATGATTCTCATCATTGATGTTTCTATCTCTCTCCCTCTTCCTTCCTCTCTAAAATAAATAAATAAATATTTTAAAAACAAACTTATCTTTACTTAAAAGATAAATAAAGCCATTTTAAATTACTTTTTATTTTCAATTTAAATGACTTAAATTTAATATTTGAAGTTGTTATTGCTATAAAATTGGTTTAATTTTTATACAGATTTTCATATGTTTATTTTCAATTATAACAGAATTCTTATTGGTGTGATTTACCTACTTTATTTTTTTAAAACACAATATCATTTGGGGGCATATATTATTGGTTGCAATCATTAGATGATAACAAATCAAAATTTCCTAATAAGATAAATTCAAACTGCAACATTTATATCTGAAAACTTAATTGTCTGATTCATAAATACTTAGATTATTTACTTCATTTTAATGTCTACTTGATTAAAATTTGTTTCTATAAACTGACATTTTTTTAAAGAATCAGAGACAAAATGGCTACATAAACCACAAGGCTTATAAGGATAACCACTAAGGATTATATTAGCTGATGTTCAATAACTTTTTCTTTAAAAAAATCAATAAAGCCCTAGCCTGTTTGGCTCAGTGGATAGAGTGTTGGCCTGCAGACTACAGGGTCCCAGGTTCGATTCCAGACAAAGGCACATGCCCTGGGTTACAGACTCGATTGCCCGCAGTGGGGGGCATGCAGGAGGGAACCAATCAATGATTCTCTCTCATCATTGATGTTTCTATCTCTCTATTTCTCTCCATTCCTCTCTAAAAATAAATTAATATATATGTATTTAAAAAAAACTATTAAATATTTTTTTCAAAAAAAGACTAACTTAATTACTAAAATTTTCTGATTTGAATTAGTTGATTTTCCAGTTCTAGCGGTGATATCATGGAAGAGAGTGAATTTCTTTCAGTGTGTGCTTGTTTTTGAAATAGAGAGGCTAAGACCAGCTCAACCTGCCTCTCCAGCTGTGACTATGAGCATCATACATTAAAGAACTGTACAAAGGGGAAGAGATGGACCCTCTTCCAGGAAGGCAGTGTGTATAGTGGTTAAAGGCACAGTCTCTGAAACCAGCCCTCTAGTGAATGTAACCCTGACTTTGCTTTAAATTGGCTGGATTATGTAGGGTTTGTTACTTAACTTCTTGGTGCCTCAGTCTAGTCTTCTTTTAAATAGGATTGGTGGTTTGTGCAGGCCACTGCTATGAAGATTAAGTTGGAAAAGTTTCTGGTGCATAATCAGTGTTATTACCCTTGCCCTCTAGTGCACCTGGCATATACTTGAGGAAGCATGCAATCGTTTGGACTGCCATCAGGAGGTTTTGATGTCTAGTCAAAAGCATAGATCACGCTGGCCAGGCCAAATTAGTCATTAAATAAAAAATTACAGCCCAGCCAGTGTGGCTCAGTGGTTGAGTGTCGACCTATTAACCAGGAGGCGAAGGTCCGATTTCCAGTCAGAACAAATGCCTGGGTTGTGGGCCTCACCTGCAGTGTGGGGAGTTCAGGAGGCATATGATCAATGATTCTCTCTCATCATTGATGTTTCTATCTCTTTCTCCCTTCCTCTCTGAAATCAATCAAAATAAAACACACACACACACACACACACACACACAAATGGCAGTTTCTTTGAGAATTTTTATCTGAAACAAGATACTGATTCAAATATAACAAAACCAAATTTTATAGTCATATGACTGTTGCCCAAAATTTTAAATAATAAAATCAAGTCAATGCATCTATCATTAAGCATTGATGAAAATTTTAATTCTGGGATATATTAACTGTACATGATAACATTTTGAAGAAAAAAAGGTTTCAGAAAAAATATTTAGATCATATAATCTTTTAATTTGAAGAAATCTATAAATCATTTTTGACACAATTCATTTTCTCCATATCACATCAACTGAGGAATGGGAGAGGGGTGGAGATGGTGATACAGAGCAGATCATCTAAGAGTCTTGTTTGTTTGTTTAAGCTGCACATAACTTAGTTTTCATCCTATGCCTCAGGGACCTTGCTTTCCTTAAATACATCACATCTCCTTGGATGATTCTGCTATGCCCACTCATGATTTGAAAATTATATTGTAATTGCTTTTCCTTTACTCTGTAACTCTATCTATGACGTATGGAATGATTAGCTAATGTTATGCAAAACAAAAAAAATGATGTTTTAAAAAGTATTTACATGAATAAAAATTCAGCTTGCCCATATATCCTATGAATTGATTTCAAGACCTCCACTTACCTGACTGGCTGTGCAGTTGGATAAGCAAGTCCTATTATCAACTGCAAGATAGAAGTTGGTGGGACATGCACAGGAATGAGTCCTTTCAGGGGCCAAAAGGCAGAGATGACTGCAACCTCCATTATTTATCATACAGAGATGTTTGGAGACTACAGATGAGAAAGAAACAACAAGAAAACAGGAAAATCAAGACCGATAATATAATATAATATTTGAAATAAGACATTTAAGCTTCATAATTTGAAATTGAATAGAACTTTGTAATGAAGAACACAGTGGTTATAAACATAATTTTATTTTGTTACAAATTCTATTGTTGTCCAATGGCATTAATTTTATCTTAAATAATTTAAGAATGCATTTCCACAAAAACAAGCATTTTAGTAGAAAAAAATCATTGTCCCTCAAAAAAACAACAGCAGAGACTAGAAGCATTTTAGATGAAGACATACATATGTTTAGAAATATTAATGTAAAATAAAACAATGTAATAATGATCTATAACTAACAGTGTAGTCACTTTGTTTATTAGACTAATTTTGTATGTTAAGCAACATAATCAATACTTTATTTAAAAACAACTGATAGAATTCCCATTAGACATATGCTTAAGAAAACAATATATTTCTCATTTTTACAATCCTTGAGCTACTTAAATATAATTTCTTTTACCCAGCATTCCAGAAACTAAGAATCCTGTAACTATTTTGTAAATAAATTATTTCAAGAATTCAGTGTCTACTTCTTCAACTACTTTTGTATTATTGTCATTTCTGCTTAATATGATTCAACAAATCAATAACTGTTTATACTATTATTGAGCTTCCAATCATATTCCTTAATAGTAGTGCTTTATATCAACTAAATTCATTCTATACTATTATGCTAAATAATAAAATCTGACAATATTTCTTAAAAATAAATTTACACTTAACCTTGGAGGAAACAAAAATGGAATGTTACTAAAAGATGTCGATGCATTTATGGAAATCATGGAAAGAATAATTACCATCGGGTTGTCTATAAGAATGATACACCTGGATATCTGTGATGGCATGCCATGAGTTAATCAGTGAGAGTCTGTCTGCTCCCGAGGTTTTATGGGCACGGCTGAGTGACTTGGTTTTCCCATCAGTCCAGTAGATGTAGTCTTCAAACAATGTTAGTGCAATCACCCCTGGAATGTCTTGATTAGGGACTGTAATAGGAGATGGTAAGATTAATGTTCAGTCTTGGAAGACTGCCAGTTAAAATATTCAATACTACATGGGCTGACAGACACAACTGCTACAGAACTTCATGTGAATAATTGCTGTGACAACCTGTCAGGCTGGCAAGGTTCTTTATTACCGGTTAAGAGAACGCAGGATCTGGCACAGCAGTGTGCTTTGCTCAGATTTAGCTTGGTTCAACCACTGGGAAGAAAATGAATGCAATCCTGCTCACAAATAATGGCTGCTTCGCCAGAAACAAGTAACATCCAACATTTAAACACTGTATATATCCAGCTAATTCTAACTTAAATCCTTAAATCTACAGGTCATTGTACTGCTCTCTCCCACATTTAAATTGACTAAATTATATATCCAGGATGAAATTTCTATCTACCTACAGATAGAGCGACAATAAGACTACCATAAACCATTTTAGTCACTGAGATTTTATGAGTATTTTTACTTGCAAAATGAGATGGGATAGAAATGGAGAAAAATAAGTGTGACGGATAACAATGTATTATGCAGATTTAACAGCCATAAAATTGTTTAGTTGCAGGTTAAAATTGTTTTATAATTATACCTCATTGTAGGACTGGGTTTAAATGTAAACACTAGAATGAGCATTACAGACATGCATTTTTCTTTTAAGGAATTCCAGGGTCCTATCAGGTAAATAAGATATAATAAATTTTTTGGTGGTTGGAGGTTAAATAATAAAAATAGAAATTCCCAAATTTGCACACACATTCCAATATATTCATCTGTATTCATTTTTAGGTCTAATTTTAGAAACTCTGAGAAAATGTTTATTAATTAAAAATGATACTGTAAATCAAGTAATAGGTACATTTTTATAAATTAATTTTAATGACTGAGTATGTTTGACATCTGTCTCACTCAGTAGCAACTGAAAATTATCAAAATTTATAACATAAATGTTGGGTGTTTCACAGGCCTTACTTTTAAAATGTTGAATTAATTTATATTGTTATCGGGAAGTAGAAATTTTAAATCTACTGATTTGTTATTTTTATTCTGATGGGACAAATGTAATCAGAGACTTCACTATGACTTAGAAAAAACAGAAATAAAAGAATTAAATGAGACTCTCCCAAATAGGTGACAAATTAAGCCATTGACTATTACTAATAAGTAGGTTCTGGCCAGAAATCCAACTTAGAACAGATATTATGCATATAAAATATGTACAAACTCAGAAGAATCTAGATGTGCACATATGATACAAATACTCAGACTAAATTATCTATGTAGTCCTATACACAGGGAGCCCATAACTAAAATGATAAGTGGGATTGGACAGAAAGATGAAAAGGAGGACATTACCAGCATAAATCATGTTTGAGTTATTTATACAAACTATTCCCACTTCCCCCCTTTGGCTGTATAAATTCTTTTGGGAAGATAAAACAAATGTGGCAAATGTGAACAATAGGATGAATCTTGGTGATGGGTGATCATTATAACAATCTTTCAACTTCTGTATATGTTTGGAAATTTTCAAAATAAAATAAAAATTTCCAGAAAAAGTTGAAAGTCTCAGAAACATTCAATTCATATTTCCTTAGATACGAAGAAGCAATTGCAACATTACATTAAATATGGGTCCAAAAAGTTAATCATTACTTTAAAAATTCTCAGTTCACCAGAGATTCCACTGACTTCTTTTCCAAAAAGTGGTTATTGTAAGAATTTGCCTATTAGCATCTCAAAAATACCACAGTCTTTTAAATACTCAGTAAGTAACTACAGTTCACGTTTAATAAGCACTTGGGTGCCAGGAAGTAGGCCAGATGTTCTCAACAATGGGAGAGGCAATTCCAGTCCCAAAGAAAAAAAAATATCAAGCCCAGATATCTATAGTTCTGCAGTTGAGAAACCCTACAGTAGAATAACCATTTTATACACCTCATTGTATTTAGTACCACAACTCTATTGTGCAATAGTAGAATTTGCAGATGGGAAAGCTGAAATCTAGAAAAATTTAAGTAACTTGATAACAGAGGGGAGGGAAAATAACTAGTAAATGAAGATGCTGGTATTTAAATCTAAATGAGATTCTCTGGCTGCTGAGTGCTTTGCCGCTTTACTGACTAGTGCTGCCTTTAAGAAAGCCAACCCAGTTGGGTAAACTGTGGTTATAGATGAATTGTGTCCCCACAAAATGCATATGTGGAAGTCCTATCCCCCATCATGACGGTATTTGGATACAGGGCCTTTTAAAAATAACAGGTTAAGTGAGGTCATAAGAGTGGGGTCCTAAGCCAATATGACTGGTATCCTTATAAGAGGGAGACACCAGGGCTGTGCACATACAGAAAAAAGGCCATGTGAGGACATAGCAAGCCAAGGAGAGGCCTCAGTGGAAAATAAACCTGCCAATATCTTCATTTTGGACTCCAGCTTTCAGAACTGTGAGGAAATAAATTTCCATTTGTGAGAACCACACCAGGGTCCTGGATAGTCAAGGCCAATGGGAGCACAGAAGCCTTATTGTCAATACACCAGAATGACCAAGGTCACTCTGAATATGAGCCTAATCAGGGTGCCCAAGGCCAAGATACCATGAATGGATGTAAGGACACATGGTACACTGTGCCCTTCTGTAGCCAAAATATGATTGATATCACCTTGATAACTAGCCTTCTTTGTCTCTGGAGTAATATACGTTACTGACCAGCTAGTCTGCTAGAGAGAGAGCAGCTGGGCAGAGCAAAGGCTAGAGAGACCTCAGGAAAGCAGAGGCAGTAGGCACAGAGAATGTAGGTCCTATGTGTGCAGGAGAGAGGAGAGCTGAGAGCTGAGAGCTGATACTGCTACGATGGAAGGCTGAGCTCATAGAGAGCTCAGATATAGCTACCACGTTAACCAGCCAGTGTGCTAGGCAGGGGAGGCAGGAGAAGCTGCTGAGCCAGAGAGCTCAGGTACCACTATGATGTGAGGTGGCAAGTCTAGGGGGCAGCATGCAGCTGCTCAGATAATAGCTGTCGTTACAGAGATTAATGCTGCTATGTGAGAAATATATGTATTCACCAGCTGGTGTCTGGTTGCCTGCCTGTATGGACTTTGCTGTGAAGAACTGTCTTGTCTGATGGCTATATGGCCTCTGGCTTCTGCATCCAAGGAGGTCCAGCCCTAGGCAGAGGGGCTGGGACCCAACACCTATAACTAGTGAACAGGGGATAAAGGAGGAACTTGGACTAAGTTCCCAACAGTTAGTACAGTGAGCAAGGTTCGAGAAAGAACCAGCCCAGGTGTAGTTGGGAAGAATTGAGAATACATGGACTGAGAACAACTCAGAGAAGTACTGAGCAGTGCTCCTTCTGGCTCTGACACCACTGTTTCAGTCACCCAGTTTCTGGCACTTCATTTTGGTAGCCTTAGCAAACAAATACAAGTATATAATGCAATGGGATTAATGTAATAATCTCCATGTAAAAATCATTCTATTCAATTACTTGATTGCAATTACACTGTGTATAATATTTAGACATGGGACAATATAAGCACTGGGCAAGGTTATTACCTCTAAACTTGTAATGATCACCCACCAGAAACCCTCTGTTATCAGATAATCAATATTAATTTATTGAGTTTGTAAATTAAATTCTTATTTTAGAAGAAGTGAGGAGATAGAAGAAGAGGCTAGGTAGAGGGATGGGACCATGGGGGCTAGGAAGTGGAAAGCTGCAGATGCGGGCAGAGTACAGCCTGCTGACTATGTTCTGTTCCGAGAAAAACACAAAGTGACCTAGAACTAGACCCAACTGGGCAGGGAAAGAAGGGTGCATGGGAGACATAAGCTTTAAAATGTATGGATATTACTATGACATGCAGGTTTCAGATAACTAATCACAAGACAGTGGGGTGTATAACCAATCCCAAGGATGTTGCTAAGACAGAATTCTTTGAAAGGGCCAATCAGAAGCGAGCAAGGCATGTATCTACCCTTAGACAAAAAAGCACGCTCTTTTTATCTCTCTCATTCTGGCATGCTAGGTTCCAGTGGATGTGCTCTCCTGCGCCCATGTGGCTTATGGCCATGTGGGACTCCACACAGGGACTAAGACTTTAATTAGCTTTGATACTGAACTACACACAGCTAGTTGCAACATGGAACAGAAGCTCTGGAAACTAGCCTACTTTTTACTCTCCTGGAACCTCAGCTGCACCTTTTTCAGGACATCTTCATTTTGGACTCCAGCTTTCAGAACTGTGAGGAAATAAATTTCCATTTGTGAGAACCACACCAGGGTCCTGGATAGTCAAGGCCAATGGGAGCACAGAAGCCTTATTGTCAATACACCAGAATGACCAAGGTCACTCTGAACATGAGCCTAATCAGGGTGCCCAAGGCCAAGATACCATGAATGGATGCAAGGACACATGGTACACTGTGCCCTTCTGTAGCCAAAATATGATTGATATCACCTTGATAACTAGCCTTCTTTGTCTCTGGAGTAATATACGTTACTGACCAGCTAGTCTGCTAGAGAGAGAGCAGCTGGGCAGAGCAGAGGCTAGAGAGAGCTCAGGAAAGCAGAGGCAGTAGGCACAGAGAATATAGCTCCTATGTGTGCAGGAGAGAGGAGAGCTGAGAGCTGAGAGCTGATACTGCTACGATGGAAGGCTGAGCTCATAGAGAGCTCAGATATAGCTACCACATTAACCAGCCAGTGTGCTGGGCAGGGGAGGCAGGAGAAGCTGCTGAGCCAGAGAGCTCAGGTACCACTATGATGTGAGGTGGCAAGTCTAGGGGGCAGCATGCAGCTGCTCAGATAATAGCTGTCGTTACAGAGATTAATGCTGCTATGTGAGAAATATATGTATTCACCAGCTGGTGTCTGGTTGCCTGCCTGTATGGACTTTGCTGTGAAGAACTGTCTTGTCTGATGGCTATATGGCCTCTGGCTTCTGCATCCAAGGAGGTCCAGCCCTAGGCAGAGGGGCTGGGACCCAACAC